CCATCTAAACCTATCCTTGCAAACCTGAAAAAAAGTAATTGCCCCTTAAACCTGCTGTAAGAACTGGTTTTGCTGCCCTTTGCAGCAAAAACTGTAATCAAGCATTTCCTAACTGTGACAAATATGCAAAAAACCAAAAACAAGAAGTTGTTGTTTACTGCCTGCTTTTTCACAGCACTGCGCGGTAGAAGAAGTAGGTGTGAATTAATGCAAAGTTTAGTCCTCTGGATTGTAAACTATATTACAGCATCTTTTAACATGCCGTGAAATCCTGATCCCTGATCCTGATCATTGTTTGTATGGCTTTCTTGATGACAGCATGTGTGTGTGTGCAGCTGGCTGAGGAGGTGGTTGCTGAATATTCCTCTGAAGTGTAAAATCTTTGCCGTGTTTCATATAAAAAAGGAATTGCAATCTGTTTTCTGGCTGCTTGATTAGGTTACGTGCAATATTCTGCGCAGTCTATTTCCCTTGTGTGTTCTGTGAGGAGACAACTGAGAGTCTCGTGTTAATCTGAAACCTAAACTGAAGGCTGACTTTGCGCTTTACCTCAGATGAGAAGAGCTTTGCTGTTGTGTAATTCACGGGCTGTTGCTACCTACTTTTTGAATCACTTTTAAGGTGGTGGTAGAGAGTGGTTCTGTTGTTTTGAGGGGTTTTATGTCTTTGCCGCTGTGCTTTGCTTTTTACTTTCTTGTTTGAACAGCAGAACTTTTTGTTTATGCAAACTGCAAGCATATTAGATGTAGCTGGAATAGATTAGTGTTGTCTGATAAGGTTGCTATGAAATTCTTAAGTAACCCAGAGCTTAGTTAGCTCTTTGTCAGCATAAAACTTGTGCCCGGTATTTATACCAATGCTTGTTAAAGCTGGCCTCCCTAAAGACAGCTGAATGCCCAAACTGGCAGAGAGGATTACAGTTAGTCCAAGTTAAATGTAATCCTAAAATTTTTAAACCACCTTTTACACAGTTGAGGTTTTTCCACACCTGTCACTTTCCAACAGAGACTTAAATGTGTCCAGAAAGATGGATGTTACAGTAGGTATTTGTTTATATATGCACTCACACACACAAGCACAAGGCCAGGTCAGTATGACCTATCAGGTGTGGATGTCTCTCTTTAAGAGGCAGGAAAAAGCTGGACAGTGATCTACTGACCTTCTTGATGAATTTTATGTTTGAGTAAGTCTCTGCAGTGAAATTATATCCTTCTGTCAACAGGGTGAGGATGTAGGTGCCCGAGAAGCAGTACTCAGCCAGATACTTTACGTTTACTCTAGGATGCTGCTTCTTTATCTGTGCAGGAAGTTCAAACGCAAGGATACAATCAGTGTACATTACAGGCAGGCTGAAGGACATAGATAAGACACAGAAGGGGGTGACTATGACAGAACATTTCTTATGTGTATAACCAATGTATACATTTTCTCTGACCTTATCCCAAGAGGTAGCACAGTACTGGCTTAGCTTTTCCTTCACAGTTTCAAGGGGCATGGATGTATCCGTCAAATTGAGGAAGTTCATCACAAAGTAGTAAGCAGAGAACGCCTAAAATGAAAGATGAAAAGAGAAAGCGATGAGACAGGAGGAAATCAGCATATCTCTAGAAAGTGAA